ACATTTAATAAGAATTCCTTAAATTTGTTTTCTTAAAGAACTCTGCCTGCCATATATGGACAAATGTATGTCCATATATAATGTGTAAAGCTGGAACTGCTTCTGAATTAGCACAAACATATCTTCTACTGTGCTGCAATTTCTCTTTAATAAATATCAGTTGGTTGATTAAAAGCCAAATCACCTGAAACATATAGCATGTAGCTATAAGAACCAGAAATTACTGTACAATGACGGATTGTATTTACATTGAAGAAATAAGGGGTCTCAAGGGAAAGGAAATTGCCGTTGCTCCCCTATTGACCCCCCATCTGCCACGTTTTGTGCAATGTGCTTGCACCTGTAACCTCCAACTTCAGCTAAGCCAGCAACAGGAAACGTTTATTTTATGTTGATTCTGGCGGCCCGTGTGGACATAAGTGGTAGTGTTTCCCATGCCTCGTTTTGTTGATTTAAAGGGGAATCCAACCTAATCTGACCCGGTGACAGGCATTAAGAATAACTACAAAGAAACAGCCAATCTTCTCACTGATGTTGTTTGCTTATGTAGGTCGTATAAAAGCTGATATTAAAAACATTATTTTTCAGATATTTGCACACAAATGCAGTGTTTGTTTGTGGTAATTTGATTAAAGAGAACTTTATCTAGCAATATGCAACATGTGAGTGAGCACAGTCTTACAGGGCCACAGACCTAGGTAACAGTGCACATTAACTGTACTTTAGTATTTTGACTTGCAAAAAGATGGCCAAGTCATGACAGTGTGACAGAGTGAGAGTGACAGATGCCGGCTTTGTCTGGTAAATCAGCTTTGACATGCACAACTGCAAGTTGACATTTTTGTATATTTTAAATCATATTTGTAGCAGAGCTTAAATAATTAGTCCATTAATCGATTGGTCAATCTACAGGAAAATAATGGGCAAATATTTCCATAATCAAAAATGCACAAAATTCCCCCAGTTCCAGCATGTCATTTTCCAGAATTTGATGTTTTTCTTTAGCTTATATGATTGTTGAATATTTGTTGGTCAGATAAAACAATCACCATGCGCTTTAGGAAATGATGCTTAATTAGAGCATTTTTCACTATTTTTTGACATTTTATTTGTTAAATTGATTAATGGAGCTTGTTGGTGAGTTGCATATACAGTGGTGTAGTGCAGGGTATACGCAGGTATACTTATTTTCCAATCAGCATTGGGTATACCCACTTCTAAATCCCCTTCTGATGCACATCATTCAGTAGTGTTCTGGGAGCTGAATTATCTGTCCTAGGAAGGCAAGTTGTCATGAGTGGATGGAATAAAGAATATCAAAATGTATAATTAAGTGGTTGTTTCACCCTATAATAGTCTGTGGGCCTGTATTGATTGCATAGTCTTGGACCTCTTTTGTGGCTAATGTTAAGTTCATAATGATCCTCACTTCCTGAAGTTAAGCAGAAGAAGTTAAGTGTCAATGTGCAAATACTACTGGCCATTTTTTGGGCAGATACTTGCCTCATTTTTATGGTCATGCATGGGCTTGC